CATGGTGGAACAATAACCAGCCCAGTCTCATATGTTCACATGTAAAACAATCACAAAGAAGCAGTGCATTTGTTACATTCTGCACATGTTTTAAACTGTATTTAGGATGCGCGTTTCCTACCTGGAACACATACGTTCCTCTAAGTTACGTGGCCTGACACTTTGTGGCTGAACTGCGGTGCTGCGCAAACACTTCCACTTTGCAACAATAACCTCAACTGTGGATCATTTAGGATGGAAGAAATTTTACAGACTGAATTGTTACAAAGGTGACAATCTACTACAGACCCAGGCTCAAATTCACTATACACAGGTCTGTATAATCCAGCACCTCGAAATGCAGTCTACATTCACAAACAGACTGACTTAGTTCACAAAACAAGAAGTGTAGTTCATATAATGTGTTTCTGTGTATATGTCCTTGCTTCTTTTATTTCCACATTGTTCCATCCTTTACCACTATTGTAAAACGTGTCACACAATAAAAGCCACAGGCAATAACTGCATATTTGCATTAAAAGAATAAAAGCTCACAGTAGAATAATTGTGCGGTTAGAATTAAACCTGGGTCGTTAAGAGTTGAAGATAAAGTGTCCGCCCACCTCCCCTTCCTCTGCACTATTTCAGCACTGAGCTGCTGTCTGTCTTCTCGAGTCTTTTCATATCATCCTTTCAAACACCCGAGTCTTACTTTCCGTGCGTGCAGCTTGGATTTCCATAAACATTTGCATTCTAAGACATTGTGTTCATTTCCTCTAAATTTCCAGGAGACCAAGTGACTTCGTTCTCTATTACTCTCTCACACACACACACTGCCATTCAAAGTGAAACACTGCATGCCAAACACACACACACACACACACACACACAGCAGCTTTCATTCACACAGCCATCCCTGATAAGAAATATGGGTAACAATGTGATGTCTGCATCAATAGGCCACTTCAACCCAACATCCAAGAGTCATGTGGGATCAAACCCACATCAAAGCCTGGCCGACGCTGCTATGAGAGCCGGGCAACAATGGAACAATAATTAAAGCCACATGGATATCCAGCTACCTCCCGTCACACACGTCTCTCGCTTCCCCTTTGTCATAGAAATGTACAGATCACCGTTTGATGTCGATACAACGGGCCTCGCACGTCGCGAAACGCAGCTCCTCACCAAACAACATGGAAGCAAGTCATTTCCATCCATTTCAATGCAGTAAACACTCTCATTCACTAAGCAGCCGATCATTATTTGCTGTCATAAGCAGCAGTAATGCAGCAGCAATACATAACAAAATGCCAAAGAGCACTGTTAAATGAGGCAGCGTGCAGGAATATGCTTTGGCTGTATTGATTCAGCCACTTTTTATCCATCCATGAATAGTTGGGCTCATTTACTTCATTTATCATGTAATTAATATCCAGAACGAGCTCATTTTTCCCCTTTCCCACCCTCCACTTTTTTCTTTGATTAATGCTCTTACTTTTTCTTCTTGATGGGGCTGCGTCCTGCTTGGAGTGCGGAGGGCTTTTTTTTTAACTGTTTCAGGGGAAAGTTGGAAGCCCAAGTAGTCAAACTGAACTTAGAGGCACGGATTGAAAAGTTATGGAAATGAGAAATGTTTAACCGCTTTGGGGAAGCAGCTGGGGGTGGGGGTGGGGGGTTGAAGGTAACAAAAAGTTCCAGAAAAGAAAATAAATACCCAAAAACTTAATGTTCTGTCGGCTACAGAGACACGAGGTTTGATAACATAAGGTGCTTGTGCGTAATAGCGGGGGATACAAACTGGATGCCCTTATTTCCTTCATGAGTGGGTGTGCTCCAAGCAAGCCTCGCACAGCTCTTGACAGGGAAAGGGCACGCGTCAAGAGAGATGTAGTGAGAGAGAGGGGGAGAGATCCCCTTGTACCTCTTGAGCATCGATGTCCTCCTCGCTGTCACTCGGCTCCGGCGCTTTCACGAACCACCACTGGATCTCCAAATACACGGAGGCGGTTCCGCTTTGGAACGCGCACGCCATTTCTATGTTTTGACCCTCTTTGACGGTCATGTTGGAGGGCAGGTCCGTGAACCGACCTGCGGATGAGAGAAGGAGCGGGGGGAGGAGGGGGTGAGGCGGGGGTAATAATGATGAGGCTAGTTTGTGCGTCGTCTACACGCACGGAATCACTCGAGT